CTACCTAATTAACTAAGTAATGATAGATAGATAGAACTAACTAAAACTAAGTAGCTAACTGATAGATAGATCTACCTAATTAACTAGCTAACTAAGTAATGAGCGAATGATAGACAGACAGACAGACAGACAGACAGATAGAACTAACTAAAACTAACAAGCTAACTAACTGATAGATAGATGATAGATAGATCTACCTAATTAACTAGATAACTAAGTAATGAACGAATGATAGACAGACAGACAGACAGATAGATAGAACTAAAACTAACTAGCTAACTAACTAGCTAAGTAACTAACTGATAAATAGATGATATATAGATCTAACTAATTAACTAAGTAATGAACAAACGATATATAGATAGACAGATAGACAGACAGATAGAACTAAAATTAACTAGTTAGCTAACTAGCTGATATATAGATATATAGATCTACCTAATTAACTAAGTAACGATAGATAGATATAACTAGCTAAAACTAACTAACTAGCTAACTCACTGATAGATAGATAAATAGATCTAATTAACTAAGTAACGAACTAACTAACATAACCCTAACCCTGTCAGATAGATAGAACTAAAACTACATTTAAAATCTAGCTGATATATAGATATATAGATCTACCTAATTAACTAAGTAACGATAGATAGATATAACTAGCTAAAACTAACTAACTAGCTAACTCACTGATAGATAAATAGATCTAACTAATTAACTAAGTAACGAACGAACGAACTAACATAACCCTAACCCTGTCAGATAGATAGATAGAACTAAAACTACATTTAAAATGTAACAATACCTGAAACTTGGTATTACGAGCACTTCCTGTATCTGTTTGCCTCTTTAAGAAGAATCGCTTTATGTATTCCCCAATTGTAAGTCGCTTTGGATAAAAGCGTCTGCAAAATGACTAAATGTAAATGTAAAACTAACTAGTTAACTAACTAACTGATAGATAGATAGATAGACAGACAGATAAATCTAACTAATTAATTAGCTAACTAATGAATGAACAATAGATAGTCAGATAGATAGACAGATATATCTAACTAATTAACTAGCTAACTAACTAACTAACTAAGGATAGATAGACAAGTAGATCTAACTAATTAAATAGCCAAATAAGGATAGATACACACATACATACATACACAGATAGATAGACAGAACTAACTAAAACTAACGATAGATAGATCTAATTAACTAGCTAACAAATGATAGATAGGTAGATATATAGATAGATAGAACTAACTAAAACAAACTAAATAGCTGACATCCCCATCATATCAGTTCATTAATCTGAGCACATCTATCTATGTGGTCAATCAGGTTTTGCTTAAACCGTTCAGGAGTTTTTGAAAAGAGATTTAAAAGATGGTTCTGTTACCCAATCATACTACTAAAATTCTGCGAATAGAATCGAACACAGACATGGTTTGTTATCAAAGGCTTTATTTATCAAACAAAAAGAATGCACCATTCAAATAACATTTCTATATAAAAAGGAACATTGGACTGTTCTACAGTGCATTACAAAACCAGTAATTGTATACAACGTCATGGGTAGAAACAGCCGGAGGGTTCGACTTCCCTTCACATGGAAAACCGCATTTCAGATCTCAACCACTACTCTAATTTGGTTAACGACACTAACATTGGACAATTTAAGGATGAAGTAAAATACACATAAGAATGATTCCTCCTCTCGAGCAGAGAACGTCTAACTCATGTTCTAACGTCTAACTCTGCTCATGTTCCTCAACGCTGGCCTTCTGATTCTATAATCAACACGGCTAATGAAGGTGATTCTGAGACACATCAACAAACCTGTCAGAGATCAATCCCATCAGCCCCGGCACTGCAGAATTACAGGAAGAGTTCACTGGAAAATGAATGCTGTTCAAACCCGTCCGACACGAACGATGACCACGCCGCTCAATTCTACACAACCGAAGGTACAAACGCTGTCATTAAAAACAACTTGTGTGCTGTGTTCATCTTGAACTGAACTGAGCTGTAATAAAAAAGGTAATTGTGACTTTTAATTTCACAGTTCAGACTTTTTTGCAATTCTCAAAAAAGCCAGAATTGCGAGATATAAACTTGCAATTGAGAAAAAAAATTCTAATATATATATATATAAAGTTAATATCTCGCAATATAAACAAAGAATATATAATGTTTATATCTTGCAATTCTGATTTTTTTCTCAGATATTATGTACAACTTGAGATATTGAGTCAGAATCAGTTACACTGTAAAAAATACAATTGCACATTTTCCAGTTTACGAAACCTTTTGAGTCTCCAATACTAAAAAATGCAATTTTCTTGAAACTACATAAAAATCCTTGTCAGACCAACAAAATTAACTCAAATGTTGTCCCAACTAGTCAAACACAGTTGACTGAACAAAGAATTGCATATTGTTGAAATGTTAAGGCTTTGTGAGTTCCCAGCATGCATTGCAGCATGAATAAATTATGCAGTTACTGTTATAGGATTATTGTTTTGCTGTTTGCGAACTTCATTTAAAATGTTTTGTTGTTGTTTTATCATTATTGTTAGTTATTTGTTGTACTGTGATGTAAAGAGCTCATCTTTTTAACATTTGTTGGTTGTGACCATTCTTGAGGTTAGTGTGTCTAGTTTTGAGGCCTAGAGTATGTTCAATCACTTATGTCCATTTCTTGAGTATCTTTAGTCTTGTAAGTTGTTTTACAAGCATAGACAATGTTGTCTACTTATTAGACTAAGTTGCCCATTAACATTTGTCATTCGTAAGCAAACATAAACTCGATAATGTGATGACTTTTACACATTTTTTTTCATCCAGGCAACAGAAAAAAAATGTATTACCTCAATGACAGTAATTGTTTATTCAGTTGCTGTGACAAGAATTTTTCTATTAGCAAAATAAGACAATCAGCATTGCAAGAACAAACGAATTTACATTGACTAAACAAAGTATCTTTACTGAGCAGAACTAAAAAACTATTGTTGAGAGAACTCAAAAGTCTTACTGCATCACGTTGCCTTATTATTTTAAGTTTTCTCAACTATTTATTTTTTACAGTGTAGAATTCAGAATTCTGACTTGCAATTATGAGGAAAAAGTCACAATAGTAAGATATTAACTACAAATTGTGAGAAATAAACTCACAATTCTGAGAAATAAAGTCAGAATAGCAAGATATAAACTTTTTTCTTGCTATTCTGATTTAATTTCTTGCCATCTTAATAATTTTCTTTTCCTGCCACGAAATGTTAATTGTGACTTTTTGTCACACTTATGACCTTTTTTCCCCCAATTGTGAGTTTTCTGACTTTTTCCCCCACAGTTTTCAAGTTTATATCTTGCAATTCTGACTTTATATAAAAATTCCGACTTTTTATCTGGCAACTGCAAAAAATAAAGACAGAATAGCAATATATGAATTTTTGTACTTTTTTTTTTTTTGCATTTCTGTTCGTCACACTTCTGACCTTTTGTTCTTGTCAGTTCAGACGACTTCTCTTTTCTTACTTCTTTTTCACAATTTTGAGTTTATATCTTGCAATTCTGAAAACTGTGAGACAAAAGTCAGAATTGTGAGATGTAAAGTCAGAATTGAGATATTACAAAGACTCAATTGTGTTTTGTTTTTTTTATCCCGTGGCAGAAACAGTGGTGCTTTCTGGTCTGAGCTGAAGAGTCTGCTGCGAGAAGATTCTCCTTTAGTTCTTCAAGGTTTGGAACGACATTATTTTCATGTGAACTTTTCCATTAAAGCAGGAATTGTGATTCTTCACTGTGAGAAAGATGAACAGACTGTGAGGGAATGAGAGACACAAACTCTATGTTTCTGAAATAAAAATGCAGCTGGATTTCAGACGGAACATCATGGGAGAATCCAAACGTCTCGAGATCTCAGGAATGTTGTCGATCACATTTAACGTGACACACACAAAAAAAAACATCAGGCAGCTGAATGTGTGTTATGATGCTGAAGCTAAATATCTTCGTTCAAAAGCACAGTGAAAATCCGTCCCAGAATTTCTCCTAATGGCCTAAATAAAAGCTTTAGAATTCATCACATCGTCTCCATAAATTACAGTGAAAGAAACAATCTAAATCATACATTAAATATATCGTAGAAACCCAACGCCGAGTCCATGACGCCACAGCGATTAGTCCATCAATCGCTCGCTGCACATGGATCTGAATGGCACCAGAAAAATATCAAATATAGGGACACATTTCATCCTCCTCCTTTTGTCTCGCAACACAGCAAATAAATAAAGTGACCAAAAAGTGAACGAAAATATATATAGGCACATAAAAAGTCTTGTTTGTGATTTCTGACATAAAACGGTTTTAAACGCAAACACGAAAGAGAAGAATGGAAAGCTGATGGTGTGTCGTCTCAAAGCTGTCACATTAGTATTATTTGACAGATTAATTCTCTCATCTGCCGTGTTTGTCGTCCTTTTTCACCCTCCGCCGACTGACTGATCATGGTCGCAGCAAGAAAATATATTCTTCTTTAGTATTTTGGTCTTGCTTTCCAGTACAAATATCTCAACATTCCAAAATCAAAAAAAAAGGAAAAAAAATTCTGGCCAAAATATATTTTAAAAATATGTTGTAAACAATAAAGTTAAACGAAGTATAGTTTTGAAATTGAAAACATATTTAGTTTCAACCTTCAGATACCAAAATCTATTTCAGGGGCAAGAAAATACATTTCAAATTTTACAGTAGCCTACATTTTTAATAACATTTAAAAAAAAATTGTTTTTGCAATATATTGAAAAATGTATTTGATTTTGGCGTATGGTAGATTTATTGGAGAAACAAAATAAAGTCTTGTTTTCTGAAAAATGTATACAAATTAAGTGTATTTATGCTTAAAACAAGAAAAAATATCTGCCGACGGGTTCATAAAAATAAACCTAATTTAAAGTGAAAAGTTACTTTTCCTCCCGAAGTGTATATTTACTTCATTTTTATACCTTTTTCAGAAAACAAGACTTGTTATCTCATGCCATTTTGCGTCTCAAGTAAATGCATCTTGATTTAAGAACATTTAGATATTTCTACCGGAAAACAAGACGGAAATACGGAGGAAGAAAATAATTTTTGGCAGTGGGTCATATGAAACACACAATGTGAAACGAAGAGCACACCGCAGGGATTTACAGCTTCACTGCTGTGAAATAATAAACCGATATGACGTTTGTGTAGTAAAGAGATTCACAAAGACAGGCGACGACAAACAAGATGAAAATCTGCAACTAAATCAGTGCTGCGTGAGCAAAATGATCGGGTTTTCTCATCCACGCCGATCCGGCATCCGACCTCCTTCTACTATGAATACACAGTTCCCTAGTAAAGTGTATTTCAGGGATTTTGGCAGCAATAGATTGGCAAGATGTCTATGAGAAGTCAGAGGGTTTGCGTTTTGGCAACTCCGATCAGTCGGGGTTTGAGATGAATCACTAATAATCCCATCGGAGAAAGGTTTCCATTAGTAGATGAAGCTCAGGAGTCTTCTTCCCGGATGGATCTGCGTTCAGCGGGATGGATTCACTCAGCCGTGTACAGAAACCAGTATAAAATCTCAGACAGTGTTAGAAAAGAGACGCTTCCTCTCTAGAGTCATTTTCCCTTTTTAATCCCGTCTGAGGGCTTCAGGTAGATCACAGAGGAAGGTGAACGCCAGAGAGTCTGCACTTCCTCGTTCCAGGCGTTCGCTCGTCTGCGCCTGCGTTAAAAAGCCGAACCCGTAATGGCGTTGAGCTGCTTCATCAGACCTTCCAGACTGGCCATCTGCTCGCTCAGATCATCCTGCTCGTACACCTGCGGAGCACAAGAGCAGAAGAAACTTTTAACACGGTTTGGAAAATGTCACTGCGATATTGAGAACGCCTGACCTTCAGATCCGTGGCAAACAATTAGTGTGTTTATTGCATGGATATCCCAGTGCTGTCTGTAGTTATCCAGAGCTTTGAGCTCCAGCTATAACATCAGATGGCCGTATGAAACACTCACTCATCAATCGAGCCGCTGTTAGCAGCGACGTTCACATCGGGACAACGGCAGCAGGGTTTAAATTGGGCCGGGGTCGTCTGGGGCTGAGCCCCGGCACATAGACTCCAGGGCTCGACATTAACGCTTCATTAACGCCAGACAAGTAACATGATTAAAACATCAGTAACCAAAAATAACTACGTAAACACCAAAACGCAAGTATTATTCTGATTTTATTACATTTAGAGTAAGAGGCGAATAGTGGATATAGCTACTGTATATAATGCATCTATTGACAGAATAAGGTTGCGCCGCTGAGGCGAGGCTCGCGCAGCCTCTCCAGGAGAAATCAAAACGCGCAACACTAAGAAACTCAGCATCCTGAGGTAAAAATTCAAAATGGAAAGTTTTTATATTTAAAATACAGTTAGTTAGGCAACATCACACAACGTTTTCACCATCACGACTGTTTAATAGTTCTATAAACAGTTACAATGCAAATACAATAATATTATGTCACATACATTTTAGGCGGAAACACATAGCAACCAGCCGATTCATTGCTGCTTGATTCCGTGTTTTGAACGAATCGGTTGAGTCAAAGTTTCATTAGCCCATGCATAAACATCTGATGAATCTG